TACAACAACCTTGTGAGGTAGGTCTCATTTCCATCTTAGTAGAAGAGAAAACTAAGGCTCAGAGAGGTTAATGTCCAAGTCATAAAGCTAATAAGTGGTTGGTTTGGGGTTTAAAACTAGGCTAAGCATCTGCGTAGAACTTTCGTAACTGAGATATTTAGCAGTTCCTCAGTTTATATAAAGAAGATGACGGAGATGGTATAGTCGTTGAAGCTACTCCAGATAATCTCTTCTCTTGGCCCTCTCCCTGGTACTGGCTTTTTCTTCTCTGAAAGATAGTACTGGTCCATGTCATTTGGAGAAAAGCATTGTTACCTGGAAACATGGGAGAATAAGAGCAGCAAACTACTTAATCTCCAAATTTGAAGGCAATAAGGTATCAACAGTTAAAACATTTTAAACAGAAGGTAGATTTTAATCTCTAGTACAAAAAATCCCATGCATATACAAAAATTCTAAAAGGCTTCTTAGCCACTGGCCATTTCCTAACAGGCTCTCTGTCTTCTATAAATGCCTACCCTACTGGTTCCATCTTTTAGAATTTTCAGCACAGCTGTCACAGGGGTTACCTCTAGAGTAGGACCTGCCTTTAAGGAAAAAGGTTACAAAGTAAAGCCTCACAGTCTGTTTGTTCAGGCAGAATTCAGTATTCACTCATATAGAACAGTTTGATAAGAATCCTTTACACATCAAAGACAGACTCAGATTAGTTGGCCTATTTATTTTTGTTTTTGGATTAGTGAGGATGAAGTGACTATGATGGGAAGAGAAGAGTTTGACATGTACATATAGGCATGGAATTTGGTCAAGATGATGTTTATTCCACTTCAGTTTTAAAGTTGTTGAAGTATATAATTCATTACCAACAGAACTTTGCAACATTCTCTTTTTGGGGGCAAGGGGACTGAGGTTTGAATTTAGGAATAGTGCTTGAAAAGCAGGCACTCTACTGCTTGAGCCCCACCTTCAGTCCATTTTGCTCTGGTTATTTTGGAGATGGGATCTTAAGAGCTATTTGCCTGGGCTGGCCTAGAATCGAAATTGTCCTGATCTCAGCCTCTCAAGTAGCTAGCATTACAGGCATGAGCCACCAGCGCCTGGCAACATTCTTTTTAAAAAGTTCAATTTCTTCATAGGAATCTACGTGCTTCAATTTTTATTCTACTGTGGCTAATATGATTTCATGACCCTTTCTAACATCCCACAAGGAAGCAATCTGACAGTGCAAAGGACAACCCAAAGCCAATAAGGACTGGGGATCGTGTTACTGATTTTTGAAATGTCATCCCCAAAACGTATATTTAGGGTAAAATTTGGTGCAGGCCAGGTACTTAGTTTTCTCTCAAAACTGCTTTGAGTGGCTATAAGAAAATGTAGTTACCCAAAGTTCTGTTCTGCCTGGGTCAGGTATCTTCCATTTATTTAGCAGTTTTGCAGTCACCCACAGCTGTGGTCTGTGTGCATGTTACCTCCTTGCTTTGAAATCAGAGGCATCCCAATCTGGTGGCATAGTTTCACTAGTGAAGCAAGAGAATATGTTGGTCCGTTTTCCATGGTTCTCCTGGGAAGAACTGTGTCATTATACCTTTAAATACAGAGTTTGAGCTGATAAAATCAAATCACATTTCAGCAAGACCTTTTTATGATTAACCTTCATTCCATTAAGCTATTATTTTAATAACTCCAAACAACATAAAGTTCACTTACGAGATTAGATTGATCAGTTAATAAAAAGTTATAGCCTGCGCTTGTTAGGTATTTATAAAAGGTATCTTTTGAGAAGTATTGATATTAGATTTGCTTTATGCAAGTGTTATTAGAGTTTATTGCCTAGAGAAAAAAAATCCTTTCATGATTCGCTCAAAGTTAAACCTGTAGTTCTGCAAAAACTATACTATGGATATATATAACATACTACATAACATTTTGCTCAGTGATGGATCCTGTATAAGATGGTGGTTCCATAAAATTATATTGCCTAGTGATATTGTAACCATCTTAGTTTTTGTGAGTTTGCTCTATGAGGCCCACACAACGATGAACTTGCCTAATGATGCATTTTTGGAAACACAACGCTGTCACTAAGTGGCACATGAGTGTGTATCTAGTAGGAGCGTCTTACTTTACCAGTCACATGTATAGCAACATCATTTAAATTAGGATTTTTCTTTTTACAGGGCTGAGGATGGAACTCAGGTCTCACACATGCTAGACAAGTGCTGTAGTACTGAGCTATACCCTCAGCAGGATTTTTCTTTTAATTATGCAGATTTTTCTAAACCCAGATTCCTCTAAGTTTCAGTGAGACTCTCATCTCAGTAAGTCATGTACAGAGGACTTGAAAATAAAAAGAATAACTTCAACTCTTTTTCTTAAGGACTTCTTTCCATTGCATGTGTTAATATTGTCCCTTTGTGTATTATGAGTGTGACTTACTTTCATGGTTCTTGACTATAGTGAAGATAACCTGAGTTTGCTTTCTGTCTCTAATAATAATTATGATTCATATAATTATTATTATTATACTTTCTCCTCAGTAGAAAATTGCCAGGACCACCCCCCAAAGGACTAGCCTCTTCTTCCTCTCATTGACATTTTCTTCTGTTGCAGATTGGATTTGAGGCCCCTGCTCCCCAGGGACAGGCTGCAGCTTCAGGGAGTGAGAGTGGCACTGATTCTGAGCCAGCTCGCCATGTCTTTTCCTTCTCCTGGCTGAATTCCCTGAATGAATGATGTTCATTCTAACTGCTGCCCCTCTGTCTGCCTGGCTGAGATGCACACAGGCACCAAGGACCCTCGGTGAAATTAATATGATGCAGTGATGAATGGGACCTCTGGACAGGAGTTGTAAAAGAAAAAAAAAAACCCTTTAATTCCAGATAACTTATCTAACACATCCAAGAAAAGAATACTTTCAGAAAATAGCTGCAGAAGGCACTGGGGGAAAAAAACCATGATCTTATGCAAATCTTTTATTGTGTGGGCAATGTTATGAAGGATGTGTAGGTGTGATACTTGTGTGTGCGTCAGTTACAAGTGGCAAGTGTTGAAAAAAGTGAGCACTACACTCTCGTCCCTAATAGGCACTGACTTTTTGTTATTATATAATAGTAGCTCTTATTTTCTCTTCACTATAACAATGCAGGTGGTCAGTGAAATTCAGTGTCAGTTCAGAAGTGAATAATTTATCAATGTATGGACAAAAGATAAATCATTGACCAAAAGCTATGAAAACATTTTGTAGAGTTTTCCTCTTTTCTGTAATAGATGTCACTGGGTATATATCTAGAAATGTTCTTTGAGTTTGGTGACACCGTTATAGTTCAGAAGACTCAAGGCCTAGGACATCTCTTGTGACATTTTTCTAATCTTAGTTTTAGATATTCATGTATCGACGCTTTAATTGAAAAAAGCCTTCTAACAAGAACTGTCTACTTTCTCGCATATCCATCGTGGCAGCAATCTGGTAAATTGTAGAACAACTGCATGTATTTAAACATATATATATATGATCTCCCACCCATGCACACACACACTCATCTATATTTAAATCATGCTTTATTTGTCCCACTGTGATTCCTCCTTCAGACCATAAGTGTAACTTTACTCTGTATGAACTCTTAAATAAATGCTGTTTTTAAAAACGTTGTTAGTCTTATAATGATTTATTTAGCGTTTTATATTATATTATTACTCCATTAGTCAAGTGTATTTCAAGCACCTTGGGGGAGAAGCATCTTCATACATATAAATTAATTCTGAAGTATTAATCATTTGATTGAAGTTTTTAAAGCTATAACTGAACTATCATAAAACTAATTCAATGAGCAATTCTGTTTCAGAAGTGAATACAGATGGTTCACAGTCCTAAGACTCAAAGTGATTAGGGTTGACCCAGAAATAAACATAGATTAAAGTTATTAAAGTCAAATTGTTCCTTTTGAGAAAAATTTTCCCAAGTGTCATTTTACAGCAACTCTGTTTAGTTATTTACGTGGAGATGCTATCAAGTTTTTCCTATTAGAAGCTGTCATTGAAACATTGCTTAAAAATATATATATACTTTATGGTACCAAACTAGTTGATAAAGTAAGCCTCTTTCATAGAAAAACAAGGCAGCATATTGGCCTTGTAAACTGGAGGAGTGCCTGCCTCAACTTTTTTCCCTTTCATCTTTTTTGGCTCTCCCCAGTTATTCCACATCTCATAATTATTCAGGATTAAAAGCTATTTCCACTATGATTGATCTTCTGTAATTTTTAGAGATAAAAACAGCATCCCAAATTATTTAACGCAATCTCAAGAGAAATCTGAGATGCAGAGATAAACCCTAGGCAATTGCAGGGACTGTGTGAACCCTCAACAAATGTTTGCATTTTTAGGAGAAAATTAAATGCAGGAAGTTTGGTGTTTGGGGCTTTTGTTTTTGTTTTGTCCTTGTGCTGTAGAGTTAGGAGGAGGCTAAGAGCTGACAGCATATCCATGTTTTAGCACTGACAAGGAAAAATAAAATCACAACAACCTTTGCAGCTTTTATTAAAAATATAAATATTCAACATTCTCTTACACAACCAAATCAACCAAGGATTGTAAAGATGTTTTATTACTGAAACATTTACAAGAAAAAGTTGATTCAAAGATCTTACACATTTCGCCTTACCCACCCTCTCAAGAGAATGGTATTCTCGTTGCTCTGGCCACCACAAAAACAATTGGTTGACTTCCACCCGCTTCTTTAAAATATTTCCTTCCGGTTCTACATTTTCTTTAAGACTCCACTATCAAGACACCTGGACACGGAAACTAAAAGTGGACAATACAAACAACGTTGCTTTGTTACTGCAAGTGATATACTTTGTGCATGCTAACGGAGGGGGTGTAGGCTCTCTCCCTGTACATCCTCTAAGGTTTCGAGCTATATAAAAATAAACAAATGATATCAGAGCAGCGTTATGGTACAGAATACTGTATTTTAAATTTTTTTCATTTTTATTTTTTGCGCTAAATGCAGACTTTTTTCCGGCCAAACGCACCGTTTCATTTGCCAATGATCTCCATCAGTTTCCTGTTGCTGTGAGCTTGCTGCGCTAACTGCTCGGCCCTGGCCATTTCCAAGACTTCTCGCAGCAGGTGGAAGGTGAGATCCAGGGAGATGGGAGGCTCCTCGGACCGCCTCTCCCTCTCCAGCGCCTCCTGGTGGCCGCCGCGGGCGTCGGCGGCGCCGCGCTCCGCGGGACCCGCGCGGCTGTCGAGCGAGCTCCGAGGCAGCTGCAGCTGCTGCAGCAGCGCGCGGAAAAAGTTGGCTGCTGCCTGGTCCGCCGAGGGGCGGCTGCCGCCGTCGCCGGCCAGGGGAGAGGACTCAGGCGACAGCCGGGCAGCGGGGCTCTTGTTGAGGTTCCCCAAGCGGAGGAAGTATTCTTCTCCCATGCGGAGCAGAACCGGCCGGGGCTGCGGCTGCTGGGGCTGCTCGGGCTGCGGCTGGAGGAAATCCAGGGGCTGGGGGACCTGCGGGGCCTTGCGGGCTCCCGGGACGGGTCCCCGGCTGAGGAGGGCTCTGCATGGCGGGCAGGGCAACAGGGCCACCAGCAGGACGCCCGCGGACACGAGCAGCCGCAGCCGCATGTTAGGGGCGCTTCTGCGGCACAGAGGTGGGCGGAGGACGGGAGGGGACGGGGAGAGAGAAAGAGAGAGAGTTGATCAGAGTTTAGCTCTGCCGGGGGGAGATGCGCCTGGGTCTGCCTACAGGACACCAGGGAACAGGCCGGGCTCCGGCCCCAAGGGGCGTGACGGGCGCTGTCCGCGGTGCTGAAGCCCCTGATGCAGGACTTCGGGGCCGGAAAGGGGACCTGCCTGCAAGAATCGCCACCACAACTTACCCCCTCTCCAGGCAGGGGTGACCCTTCTTTTGAGACTCTGAAAGGGACAGAGTCCCCTTGACTCTTCTTCCTCACCTTCCCCAAACATTTCCCTGAACCTAGAGAAGAGCCGCAATGCCAGATATCGCCTGCTCTGATCACCAAACCCCCCAACCCCCGCCTTTACGGATATTTCAGCATTTTCTTACAAACTGAGAACTACTTCCTCTCCTCCTTGCTCTCTCTCCAGCCCTGCCCTGCTGTCCTTTTCTTGGGGGATCGATGTGGGGTGCGGTGGGGATGTTACTGTCACAGGCAGTGAGCAGTAACTGGTAGCTTGATTAAGGATGAGCAGCCGTCTAAGTTTGCTTTTTGCCACAGCCCAGCTACTACTGGAATTCTAAGGCACAGTCAGCGGCCACACACGCACACACACTTTCACACGCACACACTCGCCCGCACAGGGACAGCCGGCTCCGCGGCGCAAAGTTGGTGGCGCGTTCCCGTCTAGGCGCTCCCTACCTTTCCCGAGGTGAGCAGGTGAGCAGGGCGAAGCCGCCTCTGCAGAAGCAAGTCTCCCGAGCTTCTTCTGGAGGTTTTTCTTCCCCCTCTCCTCTCTGTTCCCACTCTCTTTGTCTTGGTCTCCTCTCTTTCTCCTCGCTCTCTCAACTTGGTCTCCGAGTTTCTCCACACCAGAGCCTGAAGTGGGATTTTATAGTGTCGACCCTCTTCAGAAAGCACGCAGCATTTGCCTAATAAGCTGACGCTCTCTTGACAGCTCGATTGCGTGCTGCCTCTGCTCCTGCATAAATCATACGGCCCTGCCAAGGAGCGAGGGACAGAGTTTTGCTATTTCAACACTGAATCTCACATCCAATTATATCAACAGATATTTATCGCCTCCTTGGTGACGTCAACGAGCCCTAAAATGGAAGGGCTTCTTATGACTTGTCCATTGACAAAAATTCTTGAATGAGATTTCCCAAGTGTGGAAAACATACTGACCTCTTGCTATGCAAGGCCAAGTTAAGGGTTGGATAAAAGACAGAGAGTGGGAAAGCAGAGAAGGGGAAGAAGGGAGGTCTATCAAAGCTTCCTGCCAGGAAAGGGGTCACCAGTTGGGGGGGCGATCAGGATCCCCCTGGTCCTTCTCCCTCTTAATTGTTCTGACCAATTATCTCAGGCAACATCCTCTGTATCAGAAAATAACTCTTTGCTAGAGATAAAAAGTCCCACCATCTTTCTGCCTGGAGAAGAAGGAAGAACCAGGAGATGGGTATATAGGAACATCCAGGTTTTAAGGTTTTGTCTCTTTTTTTCTCCCAAGAGGAAATAACGGTGTTAGGAGTCTGTAAACACAAAACCAGTGAAATGCAGCTCAAGTTTTTCCAAATGATGGCAAGATCTACTCCAGTGATGAAGGGACATGAACGAAGGCCAGCCAGGGTTACAACAAAAATTTTAGGTTGTCCCAGAATCTCACTGTTCTTTGTCTCTCTGAGAATCTAAAATTAACTGTGGACTTTTCTATTCCCAAATTTAAGTAGAAGAGGACACTTGGAGGTGCTTGAGTTAAACAATCTTATATATATATATATATATATATATATATATATATATATTCAATGCAAACCCAGTGAGAGAGGAATCCATTCCAACTTCTTGTTTTATGTTGGAAAAAGCTTAAACTGTTTAACAACATCGTGGAAAAATCAGCTGCATGTTTTCATTGATGAACATTGAGTCTGTAAAAAGATAACCACATTCATTTCATCTCCAAATAACGTCAACATTCACAGTAGTGAGTGTTATTTGTTATCATTTCTCTTTCCAAATTCAATTGTGTTCCAGGTAAGCATCACAAATAAATGCTCTCTGACACTACTACAAAATGGAATGCTAAGCCTATAAAACCACACTCAATTTTTGAGTTAAATTGACACCATCATATAAGTGGGAGGCAGTTACCTTTCATTCTGCAATTCAAAATGCAATTACAAATTCTGGTGTCTGTGATTCAGTTCAGCTTCCAGATAACCACCAGAATTGTTTATCAGACATTTCCTGTTCCTCATTTCTGCTTGTTTTGTAGCTAGTGTGACAAGTATGCAACACATATTTTAACTCATATTTTGGGTCTATACTAATCCACAACTGCTCTCAGAAACAAAGAGAAGGTAGGGAGAGAAATGCCGTTCCTGAGATGTCAGCCCATAGCTGGAACATTGCACTGTGGAATATACTTTTTGTTGTTATTGCAAAGGCAGGGTTTTGCTATGTGTCCTTGAACTTGCAATCCTCTTGCCTCCATCTCCTGAGTGCTGGGATTACAGGCCTGCACCACCACACTTGGCACTTATAGAATATAATTCTGACATAAGAGAACAGGGAAATAAATGTGTCTGCTGGGAATAATGTGAGTTACTAACAGGCCATGATTAGGAAAGTGGGTGCACTTCTGGAGGAAAGCTGTGTTTTATGTTGGTAGGGAGGCTGACAGAACCTTAGTTTCTGTTATTGTGGGCTTTTTAAAAGTTGAAATACATTTAGTATTTTTGCTTACCTTCCTTTATGACTCCCTCTCTGTCCCTGTCCACAGGTTTCAGCTTGGATGTCTATCTGGAGAAGAAATGTAGTCTTGGAAGAGAAGTTACAGATAAATGGACACAGGAAGTAGGAACTCATAAAACCATGAGTTTAGCTACCAAAGTAGCTTGAGGTTCCTCAAGGAAAGAAATAACAAGTTTTGGGATTTGGCTCTGAGTAGCGTCATGTCTCTCTCTCTGGGCTTCTGAGGGGAGGGGTTGTTTAAGTATAGCTCCCACATCACTGTTGATCCTTGCCTTGGGTTTTTTCTGGAGGATAAGTTATGGACCATAATTCATCCAAAAGTTAGATCTCAGTAAATCAGTGTTAACATTTGAAATGACTTGAAGAGATCACTTGGTTTTAATGAAAACCAGACAGGTTAAGTGACTTCCCTAAAGTCACTCAGCTAACTAGTGGTAAAATAATAATTAGAACCCAGTTCTTTTGACTAGCAGCCCATATTACTTACACAATGTAACTACACCCTTTGGACATCCTTTTCCATAAGCACATACATGAACAACTTGAGATGAGAAGATGAATTTAAATAGAGCAACATATTCGCACACCAATTCTTTGGGTACCTTTTCTTAGAGATTCTTTACATGAGTAAATCTCCTACGGCAGAATGCAGAAATTCTCAGGCTGACGCTCCTGGCACTTGATTTTGAATTCTTGTGCACACCCTGAAGTTTACTTTTCATCTGGATCTGGTAATTATGACAGGAGGTTTTTAAGTGTGTTGCCAACTTAAAAAGCATTAATTTGATTTTTCCACCTCACTTTGAAAAAAGTGATCATTTGATAAACTATAGAGAGTGAGAGGGGTTCTTGAAATTATGATACAAGTGCAGAAGTAACAATAAAGAAAATGTATAGGTCCAGTAAACTAAATATCCAAGTTCATAAAAATCACCGCTCACAGATGGCACCTGCCATGTAGAAATAACATTGAAAGGTCTCATTGAAGAACCAAATACATTTAGAACCTAGAAGCCAATCCAAGAAACATGGGCACAACATAGGATTACTTCCTGTTTAAAGTCATATTTACATAGCAATGTAATAGATAAGGAATAGTTAAATAGTATAGATATATTTCAATGAAAGAAAATAGCTGAAATGACAGGAAACTGCTTAGCATATTTCTGTCTCCTACATCTCCTTGCACCTTCACAGGCTTCTACTGGAAAGCTCAAGCAAACAAATACAGTCTCTGAGTTTTCTAACTGAAACATTTGTTGAAATTAATCAGCTATTTCCAAGGACAACCTTCAGAAATCCCCATGGTGGACAGTGGTTCTGTCGTTGCTCATAACTATACTTTAGATCAATTAAGAATCACATTCTGCTTCCACAGGAGAGCTGAGGAAAGGCTTTCAAAGAGCGGAAGTGTCTACTTCTTCCCCAACATCTCCAGATCCTCAAACTAATTTCTTTCTAAATCCAATCCATGGCTGTCTTTATGGGACTTCTTTTCTGGATTAAATTCACTCTCCAGAAGTGTATGATAAATCCAAGGTGTTCTATTTTCAGTGCAGTCCAATGTTATTCTAGTTCTTCTTTTTATTTATTTGTTTCTGGTTCTTCTTTTTATATGACCTGACCTTTTTCCCTCTTTCATTCCCTCTTTTGAAGCTTTTAGTCTTGTTTTTGTTCACATTCTGAAATTTTATAATGGTGTTAGGGTCTTTTTTTTATCATTTACCCATTTTGATTTATACATTACTTTTCAAATGTGGAAAATCCCTTATATTATTTCTTTGATAAATTCCTCCTCTTCTCGACTCTTTGTTCCTGGGATTTCTATTATAAAATGTTTCCTCTCTGTTGGCCTTTTATGTTTATTATTGCCTCTCCTACTAGGACTCTGTTTTGGATTCATTCTAGAAGGGCTTTTAAATGTCTTTCAGTTAATTTTATTTTAGAATTATATGTTCATCTTCAATCTTTTTTCATTCTCTTTTCATACCTCCCATTCTTAATTTATAGTGTAATATTCGCTCAAATTCTTTTAAGAATATTAACTAGAACTTTTCTAAGTTTTGTTCTTTTTCTAAATTATCTGTTCCATTGCATAGTCATTTTCAAATTTTTATTTATCTTGTGTTGGACATCTTCCTTAAACCTCTTAAGATGAACTTATATATCATATTTAAGAGTTAGATAATCCAAAACTGATTG